TCTCATTGCTCCGAGTAGTGTCCCTGAAACTGTGAGAAAAGTAATAGCACTAATGTATAAGCAATTTTGTGATAATTAGATGTTGTTCAGCGTCTGTTTAAAATGCAGGCAGACTTCAGAGGAAAGAAAAACACAAACCCCTGGAGCTATCCCACTGTCTCAACTACAGCTATTATTTTTTTCATTGCTACTGGGGAACAACATAAATAGCCATCTATTTAAGTAAAGTGTGCTTTCGTTTCCTCCCCGCTAGAGTGGCAAGACAGAAAAAGTCCTGGGCGTGACTGTTGCTGAGTTTTGTTATATTTTTATCTGTTTGCTCCCAATAATAGACCATCCTACCACCAACAGTTAGATACTGTATAAACTGTTGGCTTAATATAGAGCAGAGATCCCATCTGCTTAATGCAGTTCAAGTCGACCTTTATTTATAGTTCAGGAACCATTTAAGAATCAAGTTTACAACCGAGAAACAAGACACCCTGCAGGCTGAGAAGAGCACGAAAAGCAGTGAATTAACAAGGATAAGATAAATGTGTGTTTGTTTGAACATGCCCTTGATGAGTTCAATGAAATTTAAGTTATTATCCCTTTATTATTTAACTTGAAAGAACCTTTATTTTTAGGAGAAAAGAGTGAACGACAAAGGATCTCTGCCAACTTAAATGTTGTCTATCAGAGTTTTTAAAACAGCCTGGTCCTCAGACTGTGTAATAAGCTGTGCCATGAATGGCCAGAGCCTTTATCAGATCAGGCTAGACCACCTCCTGCAATGTCTGAAGATGTATATCAAACACATTTGTGTAGTCTCATGGGGATCTTGTGGAAAAGCAGAACTTCAATAGTTAATTCTAAGTGTTTGGGCCATTTAGCCAAATTGTAGTTAAGGTTGAGGAAAGGTTATGTCATGCTGCTTTAGAGGAACGTATGAAATAGATTTTACTATGCTGATACTGAGAAGATAACCATTATTAAAAAATTTTAGGCCAAGACTTAGTGGGCAAAGATTTATATTTATTATTATGTACTTTTACAGTTGTGAATAAAATTACTCATGTTGACACAGGGACCCCAAAAAGAGCTCTGACTCTTGATTGGTCTTGATATTTTCTCACTGTCGACTGGTGCACACTTGTTCCTGCAATAATGGAGGATTTCATGTTAACAGTCTTCATCCAGCCACTGGGTTTACTCACTGGATTAAAGTCAGAAGTCAGTATGTCTGAGCTAAAAACTGTGTTTGTCGTCAGTTAGACTATGAATGTAATAATCATTGACTATGGGGACTTTTGCACATCTGGAAACTGTCTGAAATATTCCATTAACTGGTAAAAGTCTCAGTCTACCTCTTTAAAAAAGATGAGTCATTAAGTGCTCTGGTTTTATCATTACAATCTAAGCTTTGGGTCCTCTTCTGTAAAGAGGCCCCAAAGTTTTTAAATCAGTGCTACAGTATTCGTCATTTTCTCATACCAATGCTGGGTGCAGCTGCTGCTACTCTGTATTTCTGCAGTTCACCAATGCTACAGAATTTTCAAGTGGCGTAAAGATTTGTCGTGTTAAAACTTGGGTTAAAACTTTTCCTTTATTTTTATTATTACATAAAAAAAAGAAGTTTCAGTGCATTACTTCTCTTTAGGAGTGAAATAAGAATTCATGTGTGAATCACACTTATGCACGTAGAAATCCAGCGAAGTTTCATTATGGTCACAAAACAAATTAAAGTGGTCAAGCGTGACCTAGAACAATTTGACTGAGATCTTATAAAAACCCTGGTGAATAACTGGGGGGGTGGTGTGTGTAACACAATGGGTTGTAAAGCTGCTTATTCTACATTGAATTTAAGGACTTTGTGTCGTGCAATTCAACACTGGTGCTTTTGTTTTAAAGCAGGCTGAGAACCAGACGGGTATCCTGCACCCTGGCTGAAGCTCTTTCTCTACTGTTACTATATTACTGCCTTCTGTCTCCCCCACCATTGACCCGACTGAAGCCTTTAGCGATCAAACAATAATGTAGAAGGGGTCAATAGAGTCAGTGGAGCAGGTGAAGGCGTCAGTACCCCATTCTAAGTCTCAGGTCAGTGACAGTGAATTCAGGGTAATGGCCCTCACTTAGTACAGTGCGTGAGTTCAACTGAGCGGACCACAGAGGCGGAGTGTGTCTCCACGGGGGCCTTTGTTCCAAGCTCAGCAGAGTGCAGCTCTCAGAAGAAACCAAGGCTGGTGTTTGTGAGTCTGTTTATGAGTTTATGTTTCTGAAGGGCTCTCTAACCCCACTGTCCAGCTGACCTGGAGTTCATTCAAAGGCCACACCACAACAAGATTTCCTCCTCTTTGCCACTTTGTCGTCCCTGTGGGCGTCAGCAGGGAAACAAAAAGAAGGAGAGCCTGAGTCACTTCCAAAATCATTTCCATTGCCGCATAAGTGCCTTTGGAAGAACGCAACTTGGTACATGCCAGGAAAAAAAAGGGAAAAGGACCCTAGAGTGAGAGGCTGAAGTGGGCCAATCAAAGTTTGGTTGGTGGAAGACTGCAGCTGCATCTTGCCAAAGCCCAGCAGGGCAAAATTGAAGAATTTGAAGCAGTGGAGAGAACAGCATGAGGTGGAGAAGGAGAATAAGCTTGAATAAATGAGAAAGATTGCAGGAGTTTGCAGGAGGGTTGTTGCTGCTCTCCTTGGTCAGACTTGGGATATCGTGAAGCTCCTCGAGTGGAGAGGTCACAAGATTACAGCAAAATAGCAGAGAAATGATGAAGCCAGAAGGGGAGAAAGGCTTCATCACTTGAGATGTTCTGATAAATTTAGCCAAAGCTGATTTCAGTACCTGCACCAGTGAATCAGCCTGTACAGAGTAGCAGTCCAACAACAGAGCAGAACTTCAAATATAGTCTCTGTACACTATCAAACCTGATTTGATGCGCCATGATGGTAATGGTACACCTTAAGGATTTATGTGGCCTGGCTCAGAGAACATATGACAGCATTTTTTTTTTCATTTTGGATATTTGATATGGGATCATGAAAATAAAAAAGAATAAATAAAATGTAGAAAAAGGGAATCATGGAAAATCAAAAAAGATCGTGGAATATCTAGAAATAAATCATGAATCTGTGTGTTGATAAGTTGTTGAAACAACTAACTTAAAGCAACTTTGAAAAGTCACAAATGCCAAATTATGAAGGGATGCAAATCATGCACAATAAGCGAACATCAGTGGCAACACAGCTTGCATCCCTCATGATGTTAGCTGTTGGCAGAAATGTGGGAAAAACAAGTATTTTCTTTACTGTACACAGCTTATGTTGGTGAAGCTCTGGTGTTATATTGTTAGAAAGCTCTACTCTGTTCGTTCCTATTCCAAAACCATATTCCCCGGAGATAATGCTACCTTGGGACCTCTGATGGTTTGCAATAATTGCAGATGATGTCTGTTTATACTTCTGTGCAAATCGGCCATGTCTGTTATTTACGTCACCCACTGAGTTTGAAGTCATACAGAGGTCTTTGGCGTCTCTGTAATTTTGGGTGTTTTTTTAAGGTCTCTGCAGCCTCTGTCAAAAATGACAGAGGCTGTGCGGGACAACATGAACCACTGTTTTGACAGCGTTTGGGTGCAGTTTCAGCTGAATCCTTTCTCTGTGGAATATGGGAACCAGTTTACAGAAAGACCAAACAAAACTCCATCAACTGATCCAGATACCAGTTAGTGATTAGATGGATGACGTGCGTTGCAGTAAGCAGAAAGAACACTTTCCATCTTTCAAACAGATTTATGACTTTGTAGCCTCAACAGTGTGTAATGAAGACAATGCCACCCGCTAAACACAAGGTGAATCACATCGCCCATTTGTAAAGAGTTAAAAAAGAGCTCTTTATTTTTTGTTGCTTGGCAACGAACGAATAAATCACCTGTGTGGACACTTTTGAATCAATATCTCAGGGAGGGGGGAGCCAGGGATTTGACTCCGTATAAACTGCTTTACAGCGGGTAGCTTATAAACTTTATATGACATACAGTGATAAACTTTATACAGTATGTCCAACAGTGTTAAATGTATGTTCAGTGCAGTTGGTGAAGTTTCCATAACTGTACGCTGTGGGGTGTGATGCCCCCAGGGACATAACAGACTTTGCTAATCTGGTGTGAATGCTCCACACCGAACACTGACATCAGGGGATCATTTAGGATATAGTGATCTGGTGCCAAAAGTTCTCAATATGATAACTTGGACATCGGGTTTACTTTACTGCTCCAATCTCAGAACCCATCAGCTAACAACGTTACAGCCTCTCAGAGCAACAGCCAACTCTTGGGGCTTCAGCTTTGAGGGAGTCCCATTTCCATGTGTTGCCCCTGTTTTGAATCTGATGAGCAGAAATGTTGAAGTGTTGAAAATGTTGAGCTGGTGTGTAAAGATGACGCTGGAGTGGTGGGTTTTCAGCGGCTCTTGTTAGCAGGTGTCTGGTAATAGACATCCATCAAAGCTAAAATGTTGATAACTGACTGCCAATGGGCTTCATAAATCATTTGTTTAGCACCTGCTGCTCTCCACATAAACTATTCTCGCCTTCAATCAATGCTCACTCTCTCACTGGCATGGACTATTATATCTTTACTGCATACGTTGTATTCTTACTTCAGCTTCAAAACTGCACACACATATACACATATTCTGTGTGTATAGTCATACATATAAATAATTATAATATATGATTTTATATAGCACTTTATTAGAGACCCCCAAAGCGCTTCACATTAGATACATCATTCGTTCATCACACAGCCACACCTTGGTGGTGGTAAACTACTTTAGTAGTCACAGCTGCCCTTGGGCAGACTGACAGAAACGTGGCTGCCAGTTTGCGCCTACGGCCCCTCGAACCACCACCACCACACAACACTCACAATCATACACCAGTGGAGGACACACACTAAGAGCAAGGTGGGTTAAGAGTTTTGCCCAAGGACACAACGGATGTAGGACCTAAACAAAGTGTCGTGGGGCTGCAGGAGCAGGCCAACCTAGATTATTTTGTAGCTTCTTAACCTACATTTAGGTTAAGAAATATAGAGTAATTATCTTTTAGTAAGAAGCTACAAATAATCTAGGTTGGCCTGCTCCTGCAGCCCCACGACCATGAGATTGTAAGCAAGGCTGTCTTGCAGGAGCCCAAACTATCTGTCTGTTGGAACATGTAATCTCTGCCAGGGTCAAGACGGACCTAAACAAAGTGTCGTGGGGCAGACATGTCATCATGAGGGGCCTTCTGGAGAATTCACATACACACACACACACACACACACACACACACACACACACACACACACACACACACACACACACACACACACACACACACACACACACACACACACACACACCGAACAGCATAAAAGTCTGTACTATTAAAGTGCCCAGGCTGTTCTTCAGATCTCATCCTGTCTCCTGTGCATTGTTTATGCTGGACTTTCCACAACATGGACAGACTAGGGATAGGGGGAATCGAACTGCCAACCTTCCAGTTATTGGACGACTGTTCTACTTCCTGAGCTACTGCCGCCCCATTATTATACATATAAATATCTCCTTTTTTTAACTTTAATATATCAACATGTACAAAACAGCTGTAAATAACACGTGCATACACTTTAAAAAAAAATCTTTTTAACTCCTAAGTTTTTTCATTCTTTAATTTCTCTTTTGTGTTTATTGCTGCTGTAAATTTGGAATTTCCCTCGTGGGACAAGTAAAGGAATATCTTATCTTATCTTAAAACCTCCACACCAAACAGTATCAAAGGCTCATTTTTAGCTCAAACAACTCTATTCCAAAACCGCAACTGAATTCTAATAAACAGATCCAGAATTAAATGGACAGCCAAACAAGTGAGAGTGAGGATTGAGGCAAACACAAACAATGGGGAAAGCAACGCTCCCCTTTGCATGTTTGTAATTGCTCTGGCGTGTGTATGTCCCCCCCTCCCCCCCTTGTGCTATTGCAATTATCATCCTGAGACCAGGGGCGGTCTCCATGAAGTTATAGCGCCGAGACACTTGGGTGGCTTAAAGGAGTTTTGGCACAGAGCGGTGCGCAGACGAGGCCTAGAGACACCACCTAGTTAATTAACCAAAAAGACTAAAAATGATTCTCCAGGATGATAAACGGGAACGAGGTGAATGTCTTCTCTCCTCTCATGAGAGAGACTCATGAGAGAGGGGGAAATCTTGCAGGTAGTTGCGGGCTGTTTGCTTTTTCTTGCAGCAACAAAAGCTGGGAATGTTCTCATCTGAGGGGAGGTACCAATTTCAAGACCATTGGAGGCAATTTTATCGGAGAAAGATGAGAAATCTACCTGATCATGAGTGACTGCGTTTACTTTTTGTGCCCTCATTCTTTTGGCACATGTTCTGGCATTTATGGGCATATTTCCTCTCGCTCTGCATTTATAGAGTCCCTGCGGTCTCAGCCCGAAGAATTTAATTCCACTGAGATTTATACCTGTGTGTGTGTTTGTGCAGGTTATTGTGTAAGCATCTTTCCTTCAGTGTGTGTGCTGCGGAGGGAGAATGTTGATGAGTACGTGTAAATAAACGGTGTAGGAGCTGGCAGACAAAGCACGCTGGGTTCTTGTAAACCACTGGTGGAAATGATTAACATCCGCGTCGTCCCCGAACGAACCCCCGACCGTTTCCCCGCCGCCTCATTTGTTCTGTGCGTCAGTCTGGGGCCTCATTTTCGCTGGGATAATTGTTTTAAAGGAGACGCTTTGTCTCAATCTTTCTTAAAACATTTTTCTGTTCTAATTACTATCTTCATTTCTCAAATTCAAATTTCTGTCCTCAGCTCTCCCTCAAGCGCCAGAAAAGTGATATTCCCAAAGACCTCTACCTGCTTTGATGTATCCGCCCCACTGCCTGTCCGTCTCCTGTTCCCTGCAGTATTTTCCGAACATCTTGCTGTGGTTTTGGGAGACAGATTAGCCGCGGTCACTGCTGACTCTAGCAGAGTTTGTAGACAGCCCATGACCTCTCATCCCTTCACTGCTGTACACAATTTGCCATCCAGGCCTGCTCCCTGCGCCCTGACATTTTAGCTTTGCCCTCCTATTTGCTCTGTCCGTTCTCATTACGAAACCTGGTCCACTGCTGCCACAATGCCTCTTTCAGACAGTGCAGCTTGTACTCTCTCCAAGTTTTAATCACTGCCTCAACACTTTACACCGCACTCCTTTTGTTTCTCCTACCAAGCTGACCCACAATGCTTCTCTGTTCTTCTGTTACCTTCTCCCGCTTCACGGTGAGGTGTTCACATCCCTGCCTGCGTGACTGTGGCCTGTGTCTGCCGATCTTGACATTTCCCTTCATTACGCCAAAGTCTTGTTGCGGCTGCTGTGCAAATTGGCCTTATAGAAAAGCGTGCTCTGTTGTTCATTGAGCTGCCATGTCAGTAATAGTTGCCTGGCACCGGCTTTTGTTCCCCTCAGAGACATAATTGCCGCTGAGGGGATTAAGTAATGATACGACAAAGGGTGAGGGCATGGGCGTGCCATCCGTCATCCATCGCTGGATGTATCAGAGCACTAAATGCAAAGTGAAAAGTGTCATTTTCATGACATTTCTTCAGCTAAGAAAATAGCTGCACTGTTCGTCTCCAGCAGAAAGACTGATCAGGCAGTTAAACTCTGCTGTAATTGTGATGATCTGGAGCGCTACATCTTCTCTTTTCCTCACATCTCCAATCAGCACTATTTTTCCTATTGGTACGTCTCTAAGATTCGAAATGTCAGCAGTGCATTTGGGCAGTTTAACTGTTGGTCCTCGGCTTTAGTCCACACAGAAACCACAGCGACATTTGTCTCGCTTTCAAAATGAGGGTGAAAAATGTTAGAAAAAGAAACAAATACAAACATAGAAGTTCAATCAAACGCAGCCACCACCTCCTACAGGCAGCTAGACTTAGCTTTCTCGCTTAGGAAAGTTATACTCTCTCCCTCTTTAGCTTATTCTTCTCTTTCAGTTGTACATTAAAGAAACATAAAACTCCGGACAAAGAGGGTCCGCTGTGTCTCAGCACTTGAATGGCCTGATTTCCATTCTGGTACAGATATAGTGCCTCGACCTGCCAAGCGTTGTGTAGACAGATTGCTGCCCGGCCCCCGTGTCTGTAAAGAAATCTACTGTACACAGTGTGGACTAATAATGAGATAAACTCGGTGTTCTGGAGATCCGAGTCTTTTCTCTTCTCCTCAGTCATTGTGGTCTGACTCACTTTAGAGTTTGGCTCTACAGAAACACATTTAAAAGGTGCCATGCCTCTCGCTCTTTCTTTCTCTCTCCCTCTCCCACACATCCAAAAAAGGTGTGTTTCTGCGAACCGCACCACAAAATGAGCTGAAAAGAGAAAAGTCGACAGTTACAGAAAGAAGCTGTTTGACTATTTGACTCTTCCTCTGATCTCATTTAACTCCGCGTCCTCCTAACAAACACATCTGAGCATCTGCTGATGGCATCTCGCCCTCTCACTGAGAGCCGGGAGAGGTGGGTAGAGGGTGCTTCACTATAGGACTTCTTTCTACTCACCAGGCACGTATACACACACACACACGTACACACACTCACACATAAACACACTCTCTGCCACTTAAGTCCCAGTGCAATTTACAATGGAAATGAAAACACTCCATTGGCAGTGAGTTTGACAGAGTGTGAGGGCTTTTTAAATATGGTCCTGTTTTTTCTTTATTAAACACTATTCAGGTGAGATGAAGACATAAACACAGCTTCACAGTGTTGAGATAGATGGAGTTCAGGGTGTTTATATTATCCAAATTCCCTCTTCTATTTCGGCCTATTCATGGCTCCACTGCTCATGCTTATGTGCACCTCGGTTCCATTAACCACCCAGCTTGTTTCTGAAAGCAGAGTGTTATCACAGAAAACGTCTAACTATAGAGGATCTGTCATGGTGTGCTTAAATCTAACCCAGAATTTTAATTGATATTTATGTAAGCAGTAACGTCAACTCTCATGATTGAGTTAAAGTAATTAGATTAGAGATAAGATCAGGCATTTACCCCGACAATTTAGAGTCTCGACTCTGAAAACAGATACACTGAAAGCAGCGTGATTGTAAAAGACGTCATGTTTTTAAATTAAAAGCCTTCCGCCTCCTAACGCGGTGCCAAACTGAGGCCTTTCCTGCAGGCCTTCGCCGTCCTAGTCGACCTATAAAGCATCACCTTGGGTCTAAATCTGCTCAGTTAACTCTGTGACTCCCTTCTGCACCGCCTCATGGCAGACCACCCCATCTCGGCTGCTCTCTATGTCCACCTGCTCTGCATGCATATGAGCTATTTTGATGCTGGGAGGGAAGCAAGCCTTTATTTGTTCGGTCTTTGAAGCTACTAAGAGCTCAGTGTTCGTCTAAATCTCTGAATCTGAGACTTGAAGCTGCAGATACACTTGTTTTGTAGTTTTTGACAGGGTGAGCCACTTGGAAACAAGCCTAGAAAACAACAATAAAACTCATGTGGTTGTGTCACAGATCAGAGCTGCTGTTTCTATTTGTACATGAAGCAAATGACTACTCGTGGCAAAGCCACCAGTGTACTAAAATTGGATCAGAGAGCTGGTGTGGATCAGGTCAGAATCAGCAGTGTTAGTTTTAGGATGGGGATTGTATTCTTTGGCCATCAGACAAGGATCAGAGGCGTGGGGACCTATGCCAAAGAAATACCAGAGAACTTGTAGAGAACAGCCAAAGGACGAGGAGCGGTTGTTTGACAAAGTCCCCCGAACACGAGTTTTGTTTGGCCACATAGACCGGTGCTGCATATGACTCCCATTTGTCCTGTTAACTTAATCTCCCTCCTTCTCCTCCCCTCTTTCTCTTTTTCTCCTTCCCTTTCACACAAAGTTAGTTTCACATCCTGAGGGCAGTGGAGTTTCTGATTAAGGAAACTGAATCAACCTCCACCTGCTAGGAATACGGTAGCTTGCAGACCATATTACCCTGCAACAGGATGGACCACCTTTTCCTGGCCTTCCTCTAGAGCACCAGGTTTTGAAGAAAGGTCATGACTGATATCTCAAAAAATAAAAGCTAAGTTTTCCCCTTTTTTCGTCCCCTCGACTGA